ACACCCTGTATATTATATTTGATGATATAAACCATCAACTTCTCGTAACAAGTGATTTATCACTTATTGAGTATTTTTATTTATTTATTTATTCACAAAATTTGTTATTATTCAAGCATATCCATTTGTATTCCTGTAAATGAATAAATAAATTATTATTATTATTATTATTAATGTTAGAGGAATTACTTAGACGTTATGCGTTGAAGAGCATGACGTGTGCGGTTGGACGCGCGACAAACTCATCTTGGGCTGTTTTTCTATTATACCATATTTCGTTGAAGAAAAATTTGGTAGTTGCGAATGGAATAGTTAGTCACGAAGATTTGTTGTGGAATGTGCAGTGACTGAATGAGCATGACGGACATTGTGAAATTATTTCTGTTAGGAGAAGATGAGGATGACGCAAGAATGATTCAATTCCAAAGTGAAATCCTGAAAAAGAACTATTCAAAAACTGAGAAGAAACTGAAGGCTATGCAAAATTACTAATGAGAACACACATTTAGACAATTTTCTGAAAACGCAAGAGTATTCAATTCTTTTTGTTTAACTCAATAGAATTTGTTGCAACGGCATTTTTTTCGGTACCTAAATAAAGTTATGATTTATTCGAAATGGCCATTGTTTCTAATTTTCATAAATTGTTGTCTTAAAGGAGTGCAATAAACAAATGTAATGATAATTTTTTCACACTTACAGGGTGTTAAAAGTTAGTCATTGATAATAATAATTTGTCCGAAATACGGACTTGTCCTCTCGTTTTTCAATTAGGTGGAATCCAAAAATTATAGAAGAATAACTAATAGTTGATGATTTTATGGATTAAAAATGAAAATCATTACCGAAACCTCTATAGATTTGAATCAAGCTAAAAGGTAAAAAAGTTGTATGCGGAAACATGAAGTACATTCATTATTCATTCTCCTGCTCTTTTCAAATTCGTGAATGAAATTCAAAAATATTGATATACAGGGTTTTGTTTCGGCTCGAAACCTATATGTACTTATCAATTATTTCAAGGCCGGACATGGAATACGACACCACTGTGGACAAAGAACATACAAACCAAATATCACACGAATGTATAGGGTGTTTCATAAGTCATGATTGATGGAAGAAATGGGGAAAATTAATAAATCACCCTGTATCTTGTTTATGAACAACGATAGACCTATAAAATATATATAGATTATTCAGAAGCTCCTCGGTGTCCTATATCTACCTTTACTGTATGCGCATTTCCGAATGAATCACCCTCTATTAATTTTCTTGAATAATTGTTCTGACATGATGTTTTGAGGGGTTGTTATTGGTTTATCGATTCAGCAGCACCATGAAGAATATATTCACACGTTTCTCGAATAATCATTATGTACTTCCATCTGACATCTCAACGATCAAAGCTATCGTATTTCTTGCGTGTAACTTGAGTCTTGTTCAGACTCATCTTTCTGGCCCTCGATAATAATTATTGATTTCCAATCGGTGGAGTTGAGTATAGCAACAATGACTTGTGGTTTTTCTTCTAGCGTGAGACTTTTCCGACCTGCTTCTGTGAAACATTTGATACTCGATTTGATACGTGTCTTCTACAAGTCACTCAGACCAAATTATCGGTGAGTAGGTATAAGCGGCAGTGTGGGTCTTTATCACACAAAAAATATGAACCCGTTATAGATCCACCTTTTCAGATCTTGTGATCTGGAAGAACTCGTTTGAAGAATTCAAGCATTTCACAAAATTCATTAGCGAATTCATTGTTGATCAATTCATCAAATTTTATCCACAATAAATTTTAGTAGTTCGATCACTTGCTGCTTGAAAAATGTGGAATTTATTTTTTTCAATTATCGTATTCATTGTAGTCATCATTTGAAATAACTGAATCACAAAGAATAATGCGAAATAATACGAAAATGAATCATCCAACGGTGTTACAGTTTACTGAACACATCACATTAATTTTTCGAGAGTTTTTTCTTCAGTCCAGTGTGTACGAACATCAACTATCAAAACATTAATCAAATCAAAACTTTCATCTTCTGAAGATGCAGCGAAACACTTGTCTCACCTCAACATTTTCCTCATGTATTTTCATATTTAATATTCTATAGGTACTCTCGTCTGATGATGGCCATAGTGCCGAAACCGGTTACATTCGATTGATTATATTCAATAAAAAAGTGTGGTCGATCGACATAGTTCTACTTGTTGTTTTATTTTGTAACATGAAGGTGATTAATACAAAAATTGAAAAAAAAAAACGAAATATTCATGTTTCTTTGTTTATCATTTATTTACAATCAAAGAAACATCAGTAATATTTCCGTTTCCCCATATATAATATGTCCCTTCGTACTAAATCCTTTTCGTAAGCAATCTAGAATGGCTGTTCGTTGATATACAAAGTGAAATACAAAAACCTAAAAAACCCGGAAAAACCCCTACTCCCTAATTAGAAATATGCACGAAATATTCATGTTTCTTTATTCAATATCAAAATCAAGCATTGCTATATTTGCTATAGTGGTTTGGACGGCATCACTGAGGTGAATGTATAACTGTCACATTGTTCTTAGTTACGCTATACGTAAGCTCTTATTTTGTTGTTATCATGCTTTCCTTGTATATGGGTATTTTTTTGTTAGAAGAACAAAGTTATATTAGTTTCATGCTTCACTTGGCTTAGATGTTAGTAGATTAATGGGTTTGTATCTATAGAAATCGGACTTCAGCTTTCATCTTTCGCACCTCAACTGGTTCTGTTTTATGTGGATTTTATACAGAATATGAGAAAATTATTCATGATAAATCAAATGTCTATGCAACTCTCAGGCCACGAAAACTATTCATGAATATTGTTTCTTTCAATCTGAATTTTTTTAATAAATTAATCATTTTTCCTCTACCGATGGTCAGCTTTTTTTATCAGTCTGTCAAGTATGTAGATGATGTGGATTTCATGACGAATCGATATTATAATGTGTCAGTTTAAATTTGCCAGCCCCCAATATTTTTTGAAATCGAAAAAACTAAAATTGCCGAGACACTCACTCCTCAGCACACTCTACTTCTGAATATTTAATGGTATTATATACCTCGTTATATACCTTTTCGTGATAAAGAGGATAAGAGTGGGGGGGGGAATTCAAAGGAAGGCATACTGTATAGTGTATATGAAACCGAATTTGAAACAGTTATTTGTGAATATAGATTTCGTGATACCGTTTAATATCGAATCGTAATTTTTCAGTCATTTCTATTGGTTCAATAGTTCAAAACATATTTAACTCATTAATAAATTAACTAACTATCCTCGCATGTCTGTAGAAACAGGCTGTACTACGAGTATATTATTGCGTATATCTCGACTTATACAAACAAATGTTGAAATTTTTGTAGCAAATCTTAGACCGTAGGTGATAATATTTCTTTGTTGTCAAGTTTATTTGTTTATTCACAGACAAAATCTTCCATTGTTAATTATTATAGTAGTGTTTTGGACGCCACTGATGTGAATGTGTAACACTGTTACATTGAGATAGATCGAAAATGTTTAGTCATGCTATACGTCAGATCTTATTTTGGTCATTTTGTTGTGATAATGCTTTTCTTGTTTATGGGTCATTTTTTTTGTTGGTGGAACAACGTTATATTAGTTTCATGCTCCACTTGATACAGATGTTAATGGATCACTGGATTTGTATAGGAATTGAACAAGTTTTTTTTTCATTCTCAAACTGGTTCTGTTTTATGTGGTTTTTATACAAAATATGTTTCGAGCTCTGACAGTTTTTTATTTCGACATAATAAAAATTCACTACACTGTTTTACCACTAACCAAACCGATTTATTAACGCCTCGACACGTGTTTCGCTAACTATGTTAGCATCTTCAGGAGAAGATTAAAACTGAACTGAATTGAAGTTTTAATCTTCTCCTGAAGATGCTAACATAGTTAGCGAAACACGTGTCGAGGCGTTAATAGATCGGTTTGGTTAGTGGTAAAACAGTGTAGTGTATTATCGTGCCAAAGGTTCCAGTCTTCGATATATAATAAAAATTAGTCATGATGAATCGAATGAATCTCTCTCTTCTAACTTTGACTGTAGGGAGTAGGGAACTATAAAAAACTATGAAACTACAAGTTGGTTACAAAAACATTTTATAGGAAGATGTCTGTTGATTTTGAACATTAATATTGTCGTTTTTCATTTGGGTAAATTTTCATAGATGAATTAATCCCCCTCCATCGATGTTCAACCCATCGATTAATAACTTGTCTGATGGGTGTGGAATAGTGGGGATGGTTCCTTGGCTTCTATGACTCAACCATCGTCCCGTCCACCAATAATTAGAATATTAGTGGAGGATGACTCAACCATGATACGTGAGAAAAACGGAGCGATACTGCATGATATATAAAGTCTAATTCCTAAACTTTCTCTTGGCTGTGCTACGAGTATACAGTGCTGATAAGCACTATATATACACTGCTATTAAAAATAGAATCGAAAATTGGGTGAATCAAAAATTGGGCGAATTGAAAATTTGGTCAAACGAGACCTTCTCGATATCAATCATATGTGCGGAGATTATTATTGTTTGTTCCCTGTTCTGAATTGTGTATTCTCCTTTCTTTGTTCCTTATTGTTTCGCATTGTGTCACGACCTTAAGATTCAAAAATTGGTTCATTCGCCTATTCAAAACAATAGGTTTCCACCGAGGTTTTCACTGAATATTTCGTATGTTCCACTGCGTTCTAAGATACCTAGCACCCAATAAGTATTAATCTTGGTATTAATGGTTGATGCAATTTCTAATTTCGAAAGATCACGGAAATTTTACTCCAGAGATTAAATCATTCAAACGTCTTGACATGTTATGTCATTATGTCAATTCTTTAACCTAGGTTTCAACATCTATACAGATATTATTATGCTTGGTGTGATAATTGTTCTTCGTTTTGTGTGCTAATTGTTATCTCTTTATTTCCAGAAATTCGTCCAGAATGAGTGAGCGAAAGGGAACCAAAGGCTTGGAATTGTGGTGTAGAAAAATGACCGAAGGATACCCAGGAGTCAAAATAGACAATATGACCACTTCTTGGAGGGACGGGCTAGCCTTTTGTGCCATTATACATCATTTCAGACCAGATCTCATGTAAGTACTCATTATCGAAATTTTCATCAACCGCTCATGATTGAGTCAAAATAAAAAATATCCATGCATTCCTCACATATACAGGGTGACCCAGGGGTGCGTGCTTGGTCCGTAACTTTTTTTCTATCCAAGCTATCGACTTGATTTTTTTTTCAAACGATAGGTCCGACAACGAAGCACATTCTGAAAATATTTTTATATATATACAGGATGTACCAAGATAAAATACATAACTAAGTTCTGTTTTTTAAATAGCAAACACCCATTTTTGTTACATTTTTGGATTCGCTACTAAATTGTCGATATAACGCACCCGGGTTTCATAGACTTATCTGCAATTGTTTTTGACTTATGTCAATTTATATGTCAAAATAGCTTCGTGCATGGACCCACAAAAAAATTCATAACTTCAGAACCATGCAAGATAACTCAACCAAATTTTTTCCAGTCGATTCCTCAAGCTTCAGCAAATCTTTTGAAACGCAAGCGAACTCGAAGACGATGTTCCATCGCCTACTACGTTTTTTTTTAAATGACAAATTTCAAATGGCAATTACTCGACTTTTTGAAATGGAACACCCTGTATTTCATTGCACTATTGGATGGCATTTTTTGAGAGCTTTCCGTCGATATAGGGTTTGTGGGGTCTACTTTGTGAAGTTTGCGAAATATGTTGCAAAATAAGAAATGTGGATGGTTTTTGAGGAATCTAGTAGGCCGCTGTCGTAAAATTTGAAACATCCGTGTACTGTCAATAATTGTACACAATTGGTGAATATGGTCTACTGTATTGGTGAAGCTAACAGAAATTCTTCATTAGCAAGCAGAATCTATCATCAAAAATATCCAGAAGCAAGAACTCCACGGGTGTCTGCATTCCAAAAGTCAAGAGATCTGTTTGAACTCACTGGTGATGTATCCTATACTAAAAAGGAAATTGTTGGTGGTCGACACAACGAGGAAAATGAGTTACAAGTTTTATTGATGCTACAGGAAAATCCTCACGTAAGCACTAGGAAAATAGCAGCGGAAACGGATATTTCACAAAGTAGTGTGAACAGAATAATATTAAAACATAAGTTCCACCCTTTTCATCTGAACCTACATCAAGAATTGTATGGTGATGATTTTGCAAATAGAGTTGCGTTTTGTATTCAAATGAATGGCATGATTGACGAGGATCATAATACTTTGAACAAAATTCTGTTTTCTGATGAAGCAACATTTAAAAACATCGGATCGGTCAACAGACATAATATATGCATTATTATGAAGTCGAAAATCCTCACTGGTTGAGGACAGTTGATCATCAACAGCGATGGTCGCTTAATGTTTGGGGAGGAATTATTGGAAATCACATTATAGGACCATACTTCTTCGATAATGTGCTGAATGGTGAAAGGTATTTACGAAAATCTTCCCAGATAGTTAGAAGAAGTGGATTTGAATCACTTGAATACCCGAAGAACCATGTGGTTGCAGCACGATGGTGCTCCAGTGCATAACCATAGAATAGTTCGAGAATTTTTAGATCAATCCTATCCTAATCATTGGATAGGCAGAGGAGGTACTATTCTTTGGCCCGCGCGATCCCCAGACCTTACTCCTATAGATTTCTTCCTTTGGGGGTACGTGAAGGAAAGGGTTTTCAGAGATCGTCCGACAACTGCAGATGATATGAAAAATAGGATCACGGAAGCCTTCCGTGCAATTGATGGAGCAATGCTTGCTAGAGTTCGGGACTCATTTACAAGAAGACTAGAAGCTTGTGTGGAACAGGATGGTGGCCTATTTGAGCATTTATAAGTAGCCTTTCCTCAAAATTTACACATGGTTTTCTGTTAATCACTCTTTCCTGTTCTTATAAAAATTACTAGAATTGTTTTGTTTGTGATGTACTCCTGTTTCAAAAACATATCCTTTTCATAATTGTATGGATATTATCTTGCATGGTTCTGAAGTTATGAATTTTTTTGTGGGTCCATGCACGAAGCTATTTTGACACATAAATTGACATAAGTCAAAAACTATTACAGATAAGTCTATGAAACCCGGGTGCGTTATATCGACAATTTAGTAGCGAATCCAAAAATGTAACAAAAATGGGTGGTTGCCATTTAAGAAAACAGAACTTAGTTATGTATTTAATCTTGGGACATCCTGTATATAAATGAAAATATTTTCAGAATGTGCTTCATTGTCGGACCTATCGTTTGAAAAAAAAATCAAGTCGATAGCTTGGATAGAAGAAAAGTTATGGACCAAGCACGCACCCCTGGGTCACCCTGTATATCGCGTTTCTTTATTCACAATTATATCACCATAATGGCTCAGAAGAATGTAAAGTAATCAGGATATTTCAGCCATTTTCCAAAAGCAAGGAAATTGTATGAACATTTCTGGATTATGTTACTTACCTTAGGATACTATACAGGGTGTTTCCTAACTACGGTTCCTAACTGCAGGGGGTGATTTATTAGGCCTTTTATAGAAGAAAAGTTTCTATGAACATATGTCTGGAGTTGCTTCGTTTCTGAGATACAGGGCGTTGAAATTAAAGGAAAAAAATCGGTAATTATAAAATATCATGAATGTCCTGGAACCGATTTGGTTCAAATTTGGTACTTTTATTTGTCAAATTCTCTAAAATTCAGCATATCAAGTGTCAATTATGTTTTTAGCGGAAATAATGAAAAACTCATTTCTCAAATGCAGGTGTTCATGATATGCAATACAGTGGCTTTAATTTTTTTTCTCGGGAACAAAGCTGGATATGAAGAAAATACAAGAGACCAAAAGTTGTATTTTGAGTTGCTTAATCTGAAAAAAATAAAAATTCACCAAAAAAAGTCAGTGGCGTACTTTTTTTCACGATATTGTTGGCTGTGGTGCCCACTGAGATGCCACTAGCCCCAATAATTTCAATCTAAATAGGGCTGAATAAGCGCCTTATTAGTTCAAATGAAAGTACGAAATTTCAACCGAATCGCTTCCAAGATCTTCATGATATTTTGTAATTACCATTTTTTTTTCTTCAATTTCATCGCCCTGTATCTCAGAAACGAAGCAACTCCGGACATATGTTCATAGGAACTTTTCTTCCTGAAATGACCTAACGAATCACCACCTGCAGTTAGGAACCGTTGTTAGGAAACACCCTGTATATACGTGCGAACAGCACATTATGCAAGGTACCACCGGAAACCGTTTCTTGCTGTGAGATCCCAACGTTTTATAAAAAATTATTGAAATCCCCGATTTTTTGGACCTCTGAAAACGAGGCGAAGATGTGACGTCAAAACCTTGTTACTGAAACAAGACTATTCCAGACAGGGATGAATGATACATGATTTCTGACAGAGTGAATTAGCGCGAGATCACAGTTGAAAGAATTATTATATCAGTTGCCTCAGTCTCCGTCGGGCGTTTGGTATTTTCTATTAACTATGGCGAGATGAGGTTTCTACGTCATAGGAGGGTCCGTTTCCAGAAGGTACTATTATTTATGTCCAAAAATAAAACATTACAGTTCATTTTTCGATCGAATTATGTCGTCAATCATCATTTATGTATGAAAGGATCATTAAAAATATGGTTTAAGTTGAAAGTTCTACTAAGGTGTACACGCCCATTGTGTAAGAATATTCATAAAACCAAGAAACGGTTGGATTTGGATTGAAACTATATGGCTATATACTCATCTGAAGGAAGGAAGGAATGCTCGAAGTCATCTCCACAAATTTTAATGACATTATTACTAAATCATGAGGGACATGTTTCGGTCTTATAAAAGACCATCTTCAGCCTAATTGAAAGGTCTACAATACAAAAACAACTGATATTGAAGTGAAAGAATTACATATTTTATGCTATACTTACTTGGAGTTGAAAACATTTTTATTATGATGCTACTATTCCTTGAACATCTTGAAAAAGTGAAAGGAAGTTGTTTGAAGTGCCAACGTCAAACGGTATAATATGTGATAAATTTCGATCGTATCAAAAGTTATTTGCCGAAAACTCGTATATCATCTACTATTCTGATAGTCATTTGAATTAATTCAACACGAAGGTGGCTTTGAGAAGTAAATTATTGACATTTAACTCTTATGAAGTGTCAGGAGTCTATTTGGGCTTGAGTAGTTCAAATTCAATACATTGGACAAAAGGACAAAAAGGAGCCTGCAGAACTTATTGGATAGGTTTGTACGAACCGGGAATGTAGAATATACAAACCCAGTTAGAAAAAGACCGGTTCGAAATGGAGAAAATCAATTGGCTGTGCTTGTTACGGAAAATCTTTCCATTAGCCAGCGAGCAATCGCAGATGCCCTGGACGTGAGCGAAAGAACTGTTCAACAAATCAACAAATTCTAAAAGACAACCGTTTCCATGCCTATCATATTCAGTTTCATCAAGATTTCTTTGAACAAGATTTTGAAAAACGTGTCGAATTCTGTAACTTGGCGCAAGGTAAAATTGGAGTAGATTTCGACTTTTTTGATTAGGTTTTGTTTTCTGATGAGACCACCTTCCATGAGAATGGATTTGTGAACGGTCACAACGTCCATTATTACTCCGATCACAATCCAAGGGTGGGAGGAATCATTGGTTCCTATTTTTTCGACGGGAATTTGAATGGCCCTATGTATCTGGATTTTTTGCTAAACCAATTGCCAAACTTATGTGAAAATCTACCAATAGCTGTGAGGAATGCAATGTGGCTACAACATGATGGAGCCCCAGCACATTATTCATTACAAGTCAGGGACCCTCTCAACACAACCTTTCCAGATCGGTGGATTGGGAGAGGAGGATCAAGTAAGCCGCCCAGATCACCTGACTTAACCATGCAAATTGGATTTCTTTTTGTGGGGCTATGTTGAGGATATCGTTTATCAAGAACCTCCTACCACACCAGAAAATATGCAGCAAAGAATCCTTGACGCATTTCAAACCATTACACCCGACCTATTACGGAGAGTGGCAAGGTCATTCCA